CAACAAAACTGAATTTGTGCAAGCCTTGGAAAAGTTAATTGCTATTGCCAATTTATTGTACTGTTTGGGGCTGCAAATGAAATACAGGTTGCAACTGTGTTTTGTCTTTGCTTGCCAGAAATTTATGTAGAAATTATTACCCAGTGATTAAGCCAAAATCATATATATATATATATATATATATATATTCTTTCAAGGGTGATGAATATGCATTAATCGAGCTGAAAATTTGAAAATTATATCCACTTAAACAGACACATTACATTAATATTTTTTTTTTTGTTTTTTGAGAATTTTGAAATTTTCGTACTTCCAGGTCCCTCTATACCAGCAACGGCCATACCCGTCACCGGGGGCAGTATTACATAAAAAACACCGAGTTATGCTCCGATCTCCATGAGAGGCGATGGAAATGATGGACTTGGCCAACTTTTTATTTATAGTCCATTTATTGTGCAGATATTCATTCGAGCTTCCACTTTGTCAAGATTAGCTGGAGATAATACATTACTCTCGATTATATGGGTTATTTGCTCCGGTTTGTTCTTTCCTAGAAGCTGTTCTTGGGGAGATGTTAGTATAGATAATATGATGAATGCAGATTATAATTATTGCTTGTTGGTAAGGATGCTTGCTTTAGGATGAGATAGTTGTACTATTGAGTAGTTATGTGTAACTTAGGACTTGTAGGCTGACATTGACAATCAAAACGAACTGAACTTACATTTAACATAGAAATATTTGAGAAGAAAATACATGGCTCACCATATATATAACATTTATTTATTGACCAAAATGTTACACTTAATTTTTTGGTACATTTATAAACAGCCTTATTTTTTTTATTTTTTTATTTTTGCATAAATTTTTTAATATAATTGCCGTATTATGACACAATTATTTTCCCATAATAAATGCATATTAATAAAATATGCTAAATATCTCTTTAGATAATTATGCCCCTCATCCCTTCCCAAACTTTCTTTTCTATTTTGCCTACTACACGAAAATCCCCGCGGCGCTTGAGATCGAGATACTTGGACCGACAATTGTGGCCGGTGAGGGAAAGGTTGGGGTTGGAGGTCCGTTTCTAGAGTTCGGAGGTGACAGAGTCACAGGAAGTGGTGTTGTTGCGGTTGATGACGAAGGCGAGGATGAGCTCCTCCCAGGTGCCCTAGGAGGGGAAGGCGCCGCCGTCCTCCCTTCCAGCGCGACGCTTTTCGGTTTGGTCATCGACTTTTTACGGTGCGGCGCGCGTACGATGCATAATCAAATTGATTTCTTTTGTAGGTTTAGTTAATGTGAATATAATATTTAATTATTCAAAGGGCCGAATGGTAGTGTGTTAGGCAAATAATTAGGTGCCCCTGGCACATCTTGCTAAGTCTGCCAAGGCCTTTTGTGAAATACAGTACCCTAAAGCGCGTGAGGTAAGGAGGTAAGTATTTTTTTTTTTAAATGGGACACATGTCTCATTTTTATTGGGTAATTAATTTCATATATCATATTTTATAAATTAAATTATCATTCATATTTTGTATCAAAAAATAAAAATAAAAATACCAAAATTCATAGTTGTTCATTCTCTACAAATAGAGACCACATTTGATATTTTTTGGAACACAATTAATTTATCATTTTTTACAATTAATTTATCTTATTGGAAGATTATGACGCAAATCTATAATTAGATAAAAATATGTTACATAGTAAGATGAACATGTTATAGAGTAAGATGAACATGTCATAGAATAGAATGAAAATGTTACATTTTCACATATGAAATTTAGATGAACATGTTCTAAAATAAGATGAACATGTTACATAATAAAATGAACATGTTACAAAATAAGATGAACATGTTACATAATAAAATGAACATGTTATAGAATAAGATGAACATGTTACATATACAATAAGGTGAACATGTTACATAATAAAATGAGCATGTTATAGAATAAGATGAACATGTTACATACACAATAAGGTGAACA